CGGGGAGGGAGGGGGGGGGAGGCGAGTAGTAGTCAGTGGAGCGGAATCGAAAATTTGTTTCACCGATAATTCTCAATGGCGGTTTAAGCAGCTTACAATCTGTTTCACACGAAAATCCGCGTAAATATTATCGGGAAATTGAATCTTCAATGTAGGCAAGGTGTCGTTATCGGTGCCATTGAGCCTCGACGTTTACAAACGAGCAGATAATATATCGGTACATTGTAAATGATTTACGAAAAGCTAATTACGCGCCACAAAGCGCCTCCGGTCGACATTAAAAGCGACGTTCATTTAAATGCACATGAACATCAGCGGCAGGGGAGGTCAGCCGATTGGTGGGTGGATCGTGGGGGATGCGGAGCGCGGCTGCGGCCGGTGGTGGGAGGAGGCGAATTCGTCCATTCGGTCAGATGTGAAAAAAAAAAAAAATGTCGGCGATAGGACGTAGTCGGATGAGACTGGAATAGCGGCGCCTTGTTTCTTTAACTAACTTTTATTTCCTATCATCTTCTCTCGCTCTTCTTACTCGCTCGTATCGTAGTCGCGCGCTTGTCGCACGTTTGCCCGCCACGCGGCCACTCGTCCCCTTTGTTCCTCCGTGAGCGGGTTTCGTTATTTTATCACTCTTCTCTCTCCACCTCTTTCAGGTTTCTCTTCCCTTCGTTCCCCTACCGTTTCTCTCTCGTTTTTACGGCCCCGTTGGCGGTGATTTCCTCGGAGCGATAAGGACAGGCGCGCGACTTGTCGCGTCTCGCCGGCGTTTACTTAATTCCACCTGATGAAATAGAGAAATTGGAAGATTTACTTAGGGAAGGAAAAAGCTCTTCTTTCTTCCGCAGACGCCAATGTCGAAATATAGGAAGTTTCCAGTTGCATGCAATTTGTACATGGCTGCGCGTACTAAATCAAGCTATTATTTAACAATGTTTCTTGCACTTTCATAATCGGGTCTCAATCACCTCCTCCTCCCTCTCCTTTCATCATTCGCTCTCGCTCTCTCTCTCTCTCTCTCTCTCTCTCTCTCTCTATATATATATATATATATATATATATATATATATATATATATATGCAACCGTCTGTTGGCCTCTCAATCATTGACTACGTTTGCTCAATTAATTGCGAATAAATGATTTGAGAGCGCTAGCTGGCTTGATTAGATTCAATTTAAAATCAATTACTAACTTGCGCAAATTCACCATTGTGTTATATGCCACAATCGTGAAATAAAACTATTCAGAGAACTAATTCGTGGAAAATTCGAAAGGTAAAATACAGTTAAAAATGTATAAAGATGTCGTCCCGAGGTAGATTTAGTGACTATCGAGTGCCGTGTCGCACCTCTGGGAAAGTCATTTTGAATATTTTGACCGAACGTTGGAAGATTTCACGTTCCCTAGTACGTCTAATAAAGATATTTAACGTCACTAGCTCGATCTCAAGTGCCTGAAACTTTGAATGGAGAATGTTAATTTGGCTGAAGGAACGGTACCTGTAATACATGCTCGGCTTTCAAGTTTTAACGTCCGCTTTAAGTTGAAAAATACCCGTATTGAGCGTCAACGGAAAATGTCCTTGATGTGAAAGCCCTTATTACCTCGCAAGTTGTATATTATTAATATAACGCTGAAAATTACGCGTGAGGGATGTTGAGTCTTGCTCCCTGCCGACTGGGCAAAATTTTCACCTACTACGTGGCATTATTTTTAATCGTCCATAACTTTCGAGCTAATAAAAATGTTGACACCAAGCAACTTTCAAATTGAAGTACATTCTAGTAAAGTGCTTTCGTCCATATCCAACGTCATAGCGCACAATCTCTAGCCAATAGCCATCAATGAATCTATCAATTTTGATTAATTTAATTGATTAGCTTTTATAATACCATCTATCTGTATGAGGTGATCTGGGATATGTAAAAGTAGGCTACGGGCGCTAAGGATTCATTAGTAGGTGATGTAAATGCCCGATCGTAATCTTCCGGTTGAGATCTTTTTCTAAATGTACGTCATACTTTTTAAGTGTGGTGATGAAAGTAAAGTATCCGAGCTTTTATACGGGTAATTTTTGAAAATATTATTCAAAATTGCGTACTTATTCCATACATTAAATTATCTCAACATAGCTTTACGTATGTAAATAAATAAAGAAATAAATTGATTAATTAATTAATTAGTTGATGATACACACGCAGTTATATATATATATATATATATATATATATTTTTTTTGTGTATGCGTTTGTACATACATTGTAATTATTCAAAAGTTAATTGCAATAGGGGATAAATTAAATGCTCTATAAAGTACTACGGAAGCTCCATATATATATATATATATATATATATATATATATATATATTTAAAGCGAGGATTATTTTCATATTAAAATTATGGAATCCATTCGTTTACATGAGCTTATAAATTACGGACACTGTCGCATAAATATACTAATCAAATTGCAACTATCGATTATCACCCTTACGAAATGTAGTCTTGAGTAATTTCGTTACTCAACGCCTCAATTACAAGCAAAACACTCAATCAAACTCGAGAATGGGGAACTTAAGCGCGAGTTTGATTTATTTTCTCTAGTCAACGCAATGCCACGCGTATAATGGCTCCCAACCTTCCTATGTTAAATACTTGATAAATCCTTTTATCTCCCATTCAATGGACATTATGAGCATCCGCATTCACCGCGGTGAAACTCAACTAATTAATCATACAGATCTATAAA